GCCAAATCTTATTTAATTTTATTAAGTGAAATAGAATTCATACATGTATAAATATTATATATTGCATGATATGCATTCAATTATGTTTTTTTACAAAAAAAACTTTAACTTCAAAATAAGAAAAAGTGTTGCAGATATTGAAGTTTAAATCCGATATCGACTAAATATAATTTTTTAATGATTATTATATAAATTAATTGAATTAAATTTTAAATCCATTAAATTACATTTTTGTGAACATGATATATGTTTGATATATATAACACGGTTGATTCTTTTGTGTGAAATGATATGGTCATATATGCCAACAGCTCCGTAGATTTCTACAATTGTGTATCTGCCAATGATCATGTATTGCTTCATCCAACCATATCCAACTACCAATCTCTATCCAATTGAAGTGCCCTAATAAATCCATATCATAAAGAAAACAAAATACAAAAATAAATATGATTTTTGAATAATTAAAAATTAAAATCGAAGATTTTCATGGCAAATAAGATGCATGATTTAATTTATTTTCCTATTGAACAATTATGTTAATTAAAATTGGTATATAATTTTAGTTATTTATTTCTTCATTTTTCAGCTTTTATTGATTACTTGTATGTTTTAGCATCTTTTTAAAAAAGTAATGCATAGCCGACAATCACGTGCAGACCCTTGAATCACGTGCTTTTCTCCTTTATCTTTTTTTTTTTTTAGCTTTTTAATTAATTATGTAATAATGGTGTTTTATACGCAATTTTTTTTTTTTTCCTTTCGTTGGATTACAGACCAGATTTTATGGGAAAGTCTAGATCATGGGAGACAAATCTAAAAGGCAATTGATTAACGTTTGATCTAAAACTATATATTTTTTCTTTTTTTTTTTTTTACGAGGAGGTTTGACTGATTTTATCTGAATAAAATAAAAAATTTATGCCAAAATTAGTATGCTATATAAATACATATGACAAATTAAAGTAGCTATAGGGAAAACATGTTACATTGTTTAGGTAGTAACATTTTTTTACACCAACAAGAAGTAGATTTACTTAATATTCATTTTTATTAGGAAAAAAATAGGAAACATATGTTATTTTTTATAAGAATAGGAAGCTTATATTATTTTTTCATAATTATTGCATTACAATTGAACCTCTAAAAAAAAGTGGATTCATGTAAGAGTCGAAGTTCGATACTCGTACTTGCAATTTCTTTCTTTAATTCCACGAAAGCTTAGGCCTTCATTTATTGAAAAAAATTATTACATTATAATTAATCCATTATAATCATTAATTGCATAAATGAAATGAGTTAATAAAAATATGGTTTAAGTTCTAACATGTTAGAACTAAAATAGTATATATCAAACTCCTTTTCGTATTTGTTTTTGTTAAAATTTTCTATATTTTTCGGTTACGTATATCATTAATTGGAATTTTAGTTTATAAAAAGGACTATTAGTGCTAATAGAGACCCACAAATAAACTCAATTAAGTTAAAGTGATTATCAATTCAATTATTGTAATTGTATATATAGATTATAAAGATTAAGATGCAATTATGATGTGATTAACTTGATTGAGTCATTAAACCAACTTTAAGGATCAATTCTCAAAGGTCAACCCCAATAACAAGTCCCTATATATAATTATATATTTTTTCTAATATATTTTCTCATTCATTTTTGTAAAATTGTCAACTCTAAAAAAATTGGATAATAATGATCTTTTGAAGAAATTTTATTTTAGAAAAAAAAATGAAAAGTTAAATACATAAAATTTAACCTTATTCTTAATTGAAATCTAAGAAAAAAATGTTGTGTATATCTAACTAGTACTGTACAAGTAACCAAATTCAAACATTTTTAGCTGTCAAATCAATAGTTTTAAGCACTTGATTTATTTTTAAGAGTTTGAAAATTTTAATATTAATAAAAAAATTATCTCATATAGTTAAAGTAAATGAAGTATTTAAATTTCACCATGGGTTAAAAAAAAATCTTACTATTATAATTAAAAATATTGATTCCCAAAACCAAGCCAATAGTGAATATGTAATCTAATTATATTAACTTCAAATATAGAACATTTTTCCCTACTCCCCAACAATAATGAGGCAAATTTACACATTAGCTCCATAGACCTTGGTTGGATTCTCCTATTTATCATATAGCCTAGGTATGGAATCAAACCAAGTTAAAGCCCTAAAATATGGTCCTTTCCATTTATGAATATTTATGTGTAATCAAACTAAAGATTAACTAGTGCTTATAGAATTTAGCCCTAAAATGATATGATAACATATCATTGAAATTGATATTTAGAAGTTATGAGCTGAAAAGAATTTATACGTAAAATATCATTTTTAATTAAATAAATATTAATATAAGATAAAAAAGATAGATTAAAATTTTTAAAAATAATGTGATAGCACATCGTCCAAATAAATCATTTGAGAATGAAAGCTATACAAGAGGAATAGATCAATTATAATTTTTATTTCATAATGTCTTAGCTCATTTAAGCCTTTTTTTTTCTTGAACCAAAAATTTCCAAAACAATCTAAAATTTTTCTCAAAATCTTTCACCTCTTTAATCAATTGTGCAATCCTTTACACATTTTAGGTATGAAAACCAGACATTGGTGCTTGGTCAAAAAAAAAAAAAAAGATGCTAGTTTTTGGAAGGGTTAGGTAGTTAGGTTAATGATGATGAGAAATGTTGGGTTGGAAAGTGATCCATACATAGTAATTATGGTGAGACCCTTTTTTCACTTTAGGCCTGCTGCATGCATTTTTTCCACTTTAAAGAGACGTTTCCTTCCATTTTTAGCCCCACTTCTCCCCCCTTTATTTCAGTCCTTGCTTCCTCACTTTACTTTTGCCCCTTTATGTTTGTTCTCCTATATTGACTTGGTAGTCAACGATAATCTGAATTAAAAACCCTTTTTTATTTTTAGATTTGTATTTAGGGTAAAAGCTAAATTTCAACAACGTAGTGATAAATTAAATTTATTATTCATATTTAAGCATGTGTAATTTTTTTATAAAGCGTTTGGTAGCTTAAATTTTGTTTAAATTTTATCTTTTTTTAAATAATTTTAATAAATATATTAATTTTACCCCTATCCAATAAAATTTTGATTTTTTTACTTGAATAAAGATAAAAATAAGTATTATATTGTGGGAATGGTTACGAAGATTAAGTATAATTTTAATTTTTTTATTAAATATAAAAATAAGGACGGATAATATAGTATCTTTTTCATATTTGTATCTGTACCCATATTTTACATATATATTATATATATTTGATAAATAAATTTTTATTAAATAATATAAATTATTATTTTAGATTAATTAGAAGTAACATATTTCTATTTAAAATATATATTAATATATTTATAAAAATTACATAAGTACTTAAAAAATTAAAATTTTTTATTTTTATTTTTTAAAAAGATATAAATAAGAAAATTATCCAACTGAATTAATTATTTTTGTGTACAAAATAAGTGTAATTTTAACATTGTATGAACAATTTGACCATCATCTCAAGTTATGAAAGATAAATTTGGAATTCATTCATTTATGTTTATGGTACTTCTCTATGCTTCATCTTAACGTTTTCCCAAAGCCAAAATAATTCAACTTTCTTCTAACAAGATTAGATAGATAAACTTTAAAGGTGACAGTGAGAAAATGGCATTAAAGACACTAATTATGTCTCTAATAATTTTGGTGGGTTGGGTTGCTCAAGCTTTGCACTGTATAATTTTGGACACCTATGCTTGAACTTTTAAATTGTTTTGAACTAATTAATTCTTAATTTCCAATATAAGCCTTATCATTTGAAGACCTAACTTGAATATATAATATATAATTAATTTATGTTATATATAGTACATATACAAATACAATGTATGTAATATGTATTAAGTTAATTTCTATAATTTTAATAAATTTTATTTTGTAACATTTAGTTATTTTTAACATTTTTTTGAAATAATAATTCTCTATAACATTATATACAAAATTCAAATTTAGCTACACATTTGGGTTTCAAAGGTTACACTCTTCAAATTCGACCCTACTCTAAATCCTAATTTTCTTAGGCTATGGCAAGCTTGTAGCCAAAATAAAAATATCCATGAGTCAAGTCAAATTAAATCAGGATAAATTGATTGATCAGAAACTCGATCAAGAATAATATATCGGGCTTTTTTAAATTAAAAAATATTAATATTCAAATATTTTTAAAAATAATATTCAATTTATAAGATAAGGGTGGATAAATCTTTAAATTCAAATTTAAAAAAGATTTATTAACATTAAAATAACATCTCAAGCTAAGCTGAATTAAACTTAAATTAAAAATTTATGTTCAAAATTCAACTCTAATCAAGCTTGATAAGCGACCAGTCCGACCTATGTACAAGTCTAAGCCAAGGGATATTAGTATTAATACATGAACGCTCTCTAAATGTTATAATATAAGAAATTTAATTTTGGTAGTATTTATGACATCTTGTCAAATGTCAAACAATATATTTTTATCTTCAATTTTACGCAACGTCGTCGTTTGCATCCATGATTTGATTAGACCTTGCCTTTCCTTCCCATAAAGCCTCACCAAACTGCAATTCCCAATATACCTTTCCTTAAAACCGCAATCAACGGCCAAAAGCACGGGAAATCAGTCCTGACATGCGAATCCAATCTCATGGTAGCATGCTGCTGTGTCATCATTTTATTGGTGTAAACTCAAAACCCTTGACCCACAAACTCTGACTCATCATCCGAGCAACAAATATCCATCGAACATGTCAGTAACACTTCGACATTCAACCTCATTGAATAAAAAAATAAATAAATAAATGAAAAATTTGAAAAGAAAAAGAAAATCACTTTGCCACCTTTTCTCTCTCTTTCACCTAGTGGGACTATGGACATAATCATAGCAAACTCACTCTAGAATTCTTGATTTCTCATAATGTAGTCTTTTTTTTTTTTCTTTTTCATCTTTAAAGCTGAACTTGCACACCCTTTAAAAAGAGACCTTTCTCTTTTGCGTTACACTCACATCCACATTAACATTTTCACATTGTGAGTCACTCTCTAGCGAAGCTTATTTGTGTGCATATGCAATGGCAGAAGAACCTCAGTACTCCCCCATGGAAGGGGTTCCGGGTACACCCGGTATCCGGGAGGTGAGGCCCGAGTCCGGCTCTGAGAATTTCGGGTTTTGCACAGAGAAATGTCATGTGTCCCCGTCGTGTGGGTATCCAAACCCGGGAATAAGGAGGGTGAGCTTGAGGGCTGAGATTGACACTTCTCCGCCTTTCGGATCGGTTAAGGAGGCTGTGACCCGGTTTGGTGGCAGCGGACCTTGGATACCATCGTACAAGTTTGGAGAGCCATATGTAAGTATTTTTCTACTTTTGGTTTGACTATCATGTAAGAAAAAATGTGCTTTGTTCTGTTGTGTGGTTTGTCTTAATGGAATATATACATGCATGCAGTCCCAAAAATAGTTTCAATAATATGTTCTTATGAAGTTTAACTTATAAAAACAAAAAGAAAAAAAATGTTTGTAGTAAGTTAGTGGTTGTCTAGATTATATATGGTTGTTTGAAAATGGCATAGCTTACTAATTGAGATGTCAGCTTCTGTTAATTTTCAGATTTAGATGATATATTTTTCCCAATGAAAATGCAGGGGAAATCATGAAACTTCAACCTGCTTCATCAATTTAGACTGCAATATGCATGTATCATTTATTCGCAAATTTCCTCACATTCTATGTTCTGTTTTCCAGTTCTTGTTAATGTATTTCTGATAGATAATAAATTTGATATGAGCAGCATGGAATTGAAGAGTTTGACATAAAGAAAGTGGAGGAACAAGCAGCAGAGTTGGAGAAGGATCTGATTGTGAAAGAATTGGAGACCCTGGATGTGCTTGAAGAACTAGGAACTACAAAAAGGATTGTAGAAGAATTAAAGAGACAGCTCCAAAATGAAGCTTTGAAATGCATGACCAGTACTCCAGACTTGAATTCAGATGAACACATGCCTGCTTCATCTATCAAAGAAATGAACAAGGAACATTATGAACAGATCAGAATTGGGAGTTCAAGCCCGTGCCCTATTTCGTCTCCTGATTTGATCTTGATGGAGTTGAAACAAGCAAAATTGAGCCTTGGTAAAACTATAAATGATCTTGGGATGATTCAAACTTCTGTTGAGTCTCTAAATAAGAAAATGAAGAAAGAGAAAACTTTACTTGAAAAGACCAAAGAGAGGCTAACTTCTAAGTTTGCAGGGGTGACATCTCTAGAGGAGGAGCTAAAACGAGTGAGGGTGAAACCACAGATTGCCAACAATGTGGAAGCCAATCATGGGAAATTCCAGAACTCTTCAAACATTTTAAGACCACCTTTTCACAACAATGCCAAGCCTGAGCAGTTTAAGAAAATGGTTGATCCTGCAAAAAAGTTCCAAGAGGAATTCCACTGCCAGGAAATGATCAAAACAAGCCCTGTATAAAAACTGCTGAAATGAGGTGGGTTGCAGCAAAGAAGATGGAGGAAGCAGCCAGGGCAGCAGAGGCTCTTGCTCTTGTTGAAATGAATGCCCTTGTTGGAATGAAGGGTTTGTCAAGCAATGAGAACTCATCAGGATTTTCCTTGCCAGAGCCTGAGCCATCACCTCTAACCCCGAAAGTTCATAGGGCAGAAGAGGTTTCAAAAAGGAAAGTAATTCATGCAATGAACAAGTTTGCTGAAGCAAATATCTCCAAACTTTCAATCCTGAGGAAGCTAGAGGAAGCTTCAGAAGAAGTTAAACATAGTAAAGAAGCATTGGAAGAAGCTCTTAATAGATTGGAAATCGCAAACAGGAAGCAACTTGATGCTGAAGAGGCTCTCAAGAGATGGATTCCAGAGCAAGAACAGAACAAACAGGTTGTTTACAATGCGACCAAGATCAACAATTTCCATCCACCTTATCCTCATAATCAGCATCAGCATCCTCCTCGATCTCCATTACATGATCTGATGAACATGCAAAATCCAACAACGGATGATGAACCAAACCCTCTTTTAAGGCCAACAGTTTCAATGAGGGATATCTTGAGCAGGAAACAAATTACTCCTGAAGAATGTGCTGTGAGAAGGCCTAATGAAGGCCACAGTACTGAAAGGCAAAAGGTAGCTTTGAGCCAAATGCTTCATGAACTAAAGGAAGATCTAACATTAGTTCCTTCAAAACCTGTTCAAAAAGATCATGGAGATAATGATCAAAAGCAGTACTTCACCCAGAGGAGAAAGTTTGGGTTCATCCACATTTCCCTACCATTGGCAAAGCAAAGCAGGAAGAAACCACAAGCTCTAAACACAATGTGATTCAATAGGATAAATTTGTACTACTAAATATTAATCTGTGGTCATATGCTAATATTTTTTATTCTGTTTGCTTCATTTGTTTGTGTTGCTTTTGGGTGATTTTTTTTTATGTTCTTGGCATCTTTGGATATTTGTTTTGAAATTTGTCTTTGCTGTAAAGGTTTTCTATAATTTTGTCCATGTATTCTGCAATCTGCCCTGAAATATTGATGGGATAGAATATCATGTTTACGAATGTTAATGGTTAGGGTACGAGACTATAGATATTTTTCATTTTCATCTTTAGTTTTTTATTATTATTATTATTATTATTATACTTGAATGTTTTAAATAAAACAAAATTTATTTTTTTAACTTTTTTATTATTTTTATTTTACATTTTATATAATTTTTTAAATATATATTTTTAAATAAAAATATATTAAATTTAATTAATTTAAAATAATAATTTATATTATTAAATAAAATTTTATTTATTAAATATATAAAGTATGGATATGAATACAAAATGATTGTTATATTAATCATCCCTATACTTAATAAATATTTTGAAACCATACTCTCATCTCGTCTTTAAAATTTAATATTCATTTTCATCCTTATTAAAATAAAAATTTAAATTCTCCATTATATATAGGTAATATTAACATCGCTACTCATGTTATCTATATATATCATGCATTAGGCTGAAACACATTCTAGGAAAAACAGCTTCATGGAGTGGGTTAAAGCCAAGAGAAAAGCACCGGCTGCACCATAATATCTGCACCATAATATAAACAAAAGATTGCATCAAGGAATTTATTTTACAATATTAAAATTGAATTTTTCATGAAATTAGGGAACAAAAAATAGAAAATAAATTACTACCTCTTCTTCTCTGATCATGCACGTTCATTTTGACATCAATAAGTATGTTCCTGTCACGCTTCACGTTGCACAAAAGTTTATCTATCCAATCATCTCCCTTCTTGAATGGAAATATTAAATAATAATTATTTTATTTTATTTATTATCGTATGTATCAAATATAATTTATAATTTTTAAATAAAAAATACGATAAAAATATAGTTTAAAAATTGATAAAAAACGCATTTTGCTATGAATGAAAAAAATAAAAAATAAAAATCCTTTTGCATGCTATGATTGAAGCACTAGGAGTACACCCAAGATTCATGGCATCATTCTCGTCGACCACTTGACACTATCTTGATCTTGAAATAACTTATTTGGAGATTTGTATCACTACAAACAAGTAGATTGTTCACTTGAAATATATTTTTATTTTTTAAACTTTTATTTCTTCTACAATTTTATTCTTGTAACAAGCCAATTCTAACATCCTACTAACCTTCAATTCCATTTTTATACTTCCGAGCCAATTTTAATTCACACTAGCTTTCTTTTCTTTTTAGATATTTGTACCAATTTTAATTCCCACTAGCCTTCGTTTCTTTTAGATATTTATTATGACACTAGATGAGGCTCTTATTTTTTTAAAGATTCATAATTACAGTAGTGATCTCATCATTATTTCTGGCTCTCGACCCACTTCAGCACATATCTTTAGAAACCATCCTTTCTGGACTTCAGCTTGGGACTTCTGATTCAAAATTAATCCTATTTACTCTTTGATTTTTGGCTTAAAATTGATCACCAAGACAACTATTCAAGATGCCAATAATCAAAGCTACAATTGCTAAGATCCTTTCCAAACTTGAGAAATAAAAACAATTTTTTGAAAGATGAAAAAATTTTATCAGGTAAACAGTAAAATAAACTAAAACACTATGCAAAAAATCCATGCAAATTTAAAAAATTAACATTCAATATTAACAAAATATAATAGCTAAACAGTTCAGTATCAAAAGAAATTCAACTTGATCTAAAACATCCAAAAAATTTAAGCAATCAGTAAGATAAAAACCACCTAATTTGAGCAATTAATAAAGCAGAAACCACCTATAAAAAATAACATGATAAGAAAAATGTAAAAAAAAGTTAATCAAATAATTGGGGAACATTTCCTGTGTATTTTTTAATGAAGAAATGAAAGAAACCACCTATAAAAAATAACATGATAAAAAATCAATCAAATGACCTGGGAACATTTTCTGTATATTTTTATAATAAAGAAATGGAAAAATTAAGCAAATGGAATTATTGAACTCATCGTCTAGTCCAAAATATTCAATAAAAAAAAAAAAAACTTCATTCTTTAAATCACTTTATTTTTTTTTAAGTTATATTATTCAGCTTAGAGTTGTAAAAACTTTTACCTCTTCCAACCAATGAAAGCCGTGTAATTGAAAATAATACGGATAACTGAAAATAATTACATATACCAAAAATTAAGTAGATGATTTGAAAGCAAAAACTTTGATAATGTAAAGAGAATTAAACTTACAGTAATAAAATAATCGATCAAAGTAAATAACAGATAAATAAGGTCTTTGTAAACTAAATCCAAAAATTGTTGTTGTCTGAATTAATTAAAAAAATAAAAAATATTAATGCCAATTAAAGTTTAATAATTTAAGACTCAATCAAACAACAAGATAAGGAATTCCAAAATTGTAAACAAGTTAACTTAAAAGAATTTATAACTTGCATATAGCTTGTAAAGAGTGTTTGGAATAGTTGTCAAATCTCAATTGATTTGATAAAGATAAGTTTAAGATTTTTTTTAGAATGACTAAATATTGCTTGATAGTAAGAAAACTTATAAGAAAAGAATTTTAGAAGGAAAAATATTTTTAATAAGCAAGTTAATAT